TTTTGAATTTCAAGGGCCTACATTTTTACACTGTAATTGTAAAGTCCAATCCTCAGTGGTTTTTCACTCTCTCTGAGAATGTACAAATGGAGCCTTACCAAATGTACTATAGGGTCCATTTATCAATCTTTTATCTGGCCTCAAGGACCCCTGGGGGTCCCCGGGCCTCATGCTGAGAAGAACAAGTGTTTTTTAGGTAACTTACTTGCAGAATCATCATGTGTTTTTAGCCTCAGCGCCAGCAGGCTCCGACACAGACACACGCGACACAAACCCCCTCCTCACCATGCTGGCTGTGTTTACAACGTAGGACAGTTGGGGCGGGTGTTAATCGAAACAAACCAATCGCGTCTTGTCTTTTCACAACTGACAAGTGGCTCAACCTCACACACCTCATCCCTCTCCTTGCATCACTGCGCCGCTGTGATTGCATTGGTTTGGCCTGCCTGTTGGGAAAAAAATGATAAGCAGGCCAATCACAGGCCAGGACTTCGGGAATAGTCCCGGTCCTCCCGATGCGCAGTCCAGCCCTGCCCTGAAGGATGTTGCTGTTTTGCTGCCATACAGTGTTGGCGATCTCAAGTTTTCTATTCTTTCATTAGGAAACCAAAGAAATCAAGTGATTCTGGTGTGTTTCGATGTTTTAGTTGGTAGCCATGTTTTTAATGGAATAAACAATGATCCATTAGAATGTCCTGATGTCTCTTATTTGTTATTCACATTACAAATGGTATGCTATTGTGGTATTTCAATAACTGAACATCAAAGAGTGGGTTATGTCTTACTTATTTGATCTAACATTAGATTTTAGTTAAAGGGAAACTACCGTTTACTACCACTGAGGTAAAACATGAGCATTCAGACAATCAGACACATGGAACAAAACCTCAGGTTTGACAAAATCGTTTGGATGGAAATAAATTAAGATGAATGGTAAAATTATTACACATACTGTCCACTGTAAATGAATGGCCCTTGCAGATGTTAGGTTGTACAATGAAAATGTCACGTTAAACAGCTGAGAGCAGGACCCAAAAGCGAGACTCGGAGACAGGAATCAGTTAAAGTTGCTTTAATTGAATGTTGTGGCTGGATGGCGAAGCAGTGCAGTGAGGCAGGGTGAAGGCAGGGTGGAGAGACGAGGTGGTGGGGCACAACGGTGAGGCACGGTGAAGGACGGGAGTGGATCCAGCAGGCGCAGGCAGAATGCAGGTGAGCGAGGAGGATTCCTGATCACAGGAGAAACAAGGTCAGTCACAACGAAACAGCAACAGGAAACACTGGCAACAAGATCACTGAAGGAGTCGAGAGTCTGAACACAGTATACCGCGTGGGAAACTGGACGATCTGACGACGAGTGGCTGGAGAGACCGGGCTTTAACTGAGACCGATGAGAATGAGGAACAAGAAGATTTTCTGGAGGTCATGTAATGTTAGGAGAATCTTCACAAGGCAGAGCTACCTATCCATGAATTAATCTGCAGTAGACATTGTTCAGTCTTTAAATGAGTACTTAAAAATGCAAATGCCATGGCATGTTTTACAGATTTTTTTATGGAGCTGCGGTCAGGAAGAACCTGCAGTCACTAACTTGGCAGTAAGACTTTCCAGACCCATGATTGTGAATCCAGAAGCAAATATTTACAGATCTGGGGTTTCATATATAACTACTGTGTATACACAAAACAAGGCCTGAAAGAGGTGTGAGTCCCTTCCCACACACAAAAGTTGTGATCTATAAATACAAACTATATGGGAGAATGTGTGCACCTGTAGGGAAACTCTGACCCATGCGTACCGCGTTTTTGGATACAGAGAAAATTGGTGATGCAGATGGTGAGGTGGTGAACTGAAGCCAAATTGTAGAAATTACACTTGAGTGGAATCATTATACAGTGCCCTCCAAAAGTATTGGAACAGTGAGGCCAATTCCTTTATTTTTGTTGTAGACTGAAAATATTTGGGTTTGACATCAAAAGATGAATATGGGACAAGAGATCAACATTTCAGCTTTTATTTCCAGGTATTTACATCTGGATCTGATACACAACTTAGAAGATAGCACCTTTTGTTTGAACCCACCCATTTTTCATGAGAGCAAAAGTATTGGAACATGTGACTGACAGGTGTGTTTTGTTGCCCAGGTGTCTCCCAATTACATTGATTATTCAAACAATAAATAGCACTGAATGTCTGAGCTCAGTTTCAAATTGGGTACGATAGGTTTTGCCTGTGCAGACTGCATTTAGAGGTGGAACCAACATGAAAACCAGAGAGCTGTCTATGGGTGAAAAAGAAGCAATTGTGAATCTGAGAGAAGATGGACAATCAATCAGAGCCATTGCATAAACATTGGCCATAGCCAGTACAACCATTTGGAATGTCCTGAAGAAGAAAGAAACCACTGGTGTACTAAGCAACAGACGTCGAACAGGTAGACCAAGGAAAACATCAGCAGTTGATGACAGAAACATTGTGAGAGCTGTAAAGAAAGACCCTAAAACAACTGTTAGTGACATCAGCAACAACCTCCAGAGGGCAGGAGTGAATGTATCACAATCTACTGTTCGCAGAAGACTTCATGAACAAAAGTACAGAGGCTACACCAGAAGATGCAAACCACTCATTAGCAAGAAGAATAGGAAGGCCAGGCTGGAATTTGCCAAAAGGTACAGAGATGAGCCTCAAAAATTCTGGGAAAAAGTTTTATGGACTGATGAGACAAAGATTAACTTTTTCCAAAGTGATGGAAAGGCGAAAGTTTGGAGAAAGAAAGGATCTGCTCATGATCCCAAACATACAAGCTCATCTGTGAAACACGGTGGAGGTAATGTCATGGCTTGGGCTTGCATGGCTTCTTCTGGGACGGGCTCTTTCATCTTCATTGATGATGTAACACATGATGGCAGCAGCAAAATGAACTCAAAAGTCTACAGAAACATTTTGTCTGCTAATTTAAAGAAAGATGCAACCAAACTGATTGGGAGATCCTTCATCATGCAGCAAGATAACGACCCAAAACACACTGCCAAAACAACAAAGGAGTTGCTGCAGTTTACATGACTGTGCACACACACAGTGCACTGGGGTGACCATGTTGGCTGCCACACACACTCTGGTTTCTCCAGTCACCTTACATACATCTTCACCACCTGCACATGGGTTCTGTGTAAATTAGTAAAGTTTGGAAATAAAGCCAGTGACAGCTCTTGCACAATTATGAAACTCCATATCCTCATAATGAGACCTTATCATAATGCAGGCCAAGATCACCATAACAGACTGAAATGAATACATAAGAAAACAATATTCACCCATTAAACTTCAGATGATATCACTGATTGTTATGATCAATTTGGCATGGTTGTCGTGATTCACCTTAATGCCTCACTGGTTGCTGTGCTTTGAGCATTTATGGTTAACTGAGTCGCTAAAGAGGCTATGATACGGTGCTTCTTAAAGTTGATTAACAACCTCAGGCGCATCCTGCCGCTGCGCTCTTGAAAGCTGGCTCTAAAAAAGTAACAACCTCGTGTTTTCCAGGTGGTTAAAGATGAGGCATGTGTAAAGCCCCTCATAATTTTGCTTTCAACCATACTTGTGGGTAACAGTATGTCGTCAATATGTCAACAAGTCCAAATATTGTGAATATCACGATATGAATTTTTCATATGATATCAAAAAATATATCAGTATTATCGTGAACAAGATGATATGGTACACCCCTAACCCTAGGTTAGGGTCAGTGACACTTTTTAAACAATCCAGAACAAAACAATGTTGTATTTGGTAAACTGCAGATGCACATATACTTGTGATGTTTGTTTATCTGTGTTAAAATGTCTAGTATCTAAATGCACAGTGTAGTGTTTAAAAGTGCATGGAATTTAGCATGAGATGTCTGACAACTTCTAGTGGTATTCTGAGCAGCCTTATAGGCGGTAGTCAACTAAGTTTTGAGTGTTGAGTATGAGTCAAGATGAGACCAAGTCTTCACTGAGACCATTAAAAATGTGAAATTGCCTGTGTGTATTATTTGCTAAAATTGTGATTAAAACTTTAATATCCATCCATCTTCTAAACGCTTATCCTCTAATTATTAGTATTATCATATTTTTGGAAAACTGAAACAGTGATTCCAGAGAGAAGCAGACAGAGGGGTCTACAGTCTGTGTTTGAAGGATATATCCAGGATGTCAAACTGACTCAGCAGCAACAACAGGTTAAAAAGACAAAGATAGTTAGAAGCTAAAGCCGAACTATAGGCTACAGATCACAGTGTAAAAGTTAACCTTCATATCACTGCTGATCGCCACAGAAGACGATGAATATAAACGGAAACTCTGCTTATATTCAACCAGCTGTGTGGCATCACAGTGCGAACAGATGAACCGTGTTTGGCTTCGCCCCCGTGCTGCTGCCAGCACCCGGACCTCCGCCGCCGGACAAGCAGGGATCTCCAGGGGAAGTCAAACAGCGTTTATCTGCGCACAATACGATGACACACAGCTGGTTGAATATCAGCAAAGTTTCCCTGCTTCCCTTCACTGGTTCCTGTACAGCAGGGTCGGCCTTTTTTTCACTGTTATAATCATTACGAAGCAAAAGCAGCATATGTATACATTCAGTAGGCTATATCTTCACTAGCTAGCTAGCTAACCCTACACTTTTCAGGGTTTGATTTTGGTTTTGAAACAGGGAAGAAACATAAATCTTCTTCCTACCTCTCCAGGTAACGAGTATCATTAATACACAGCGTGCCCCATGGAAAAACATAAAGCACACCAAAACCACAAAACCAGCCTGAAAATTAAGGAAATCTGAAAATCTGAAAAATTGCATTAGAGTCATTGGAACACAGGTGTGTTGTTGTCGGACCCTGGTCTGAGCTCCTCCCTTGCAGGATATAGCTGTCCAGAGACAGCCATGCTTGTACTCCAGGGAGTCATCTATTTGTACATGCCTTGCTGAAACTTTTGCATTTCAATGATATGTTCTAGGAAGCTTTGGTGGCCTCCCACTGTGAAACTCCTTCTGACGCCCACTTGGAGGTCTGGAGCAACCTTTGAAGGCCTCGGGTGTACAGTTGGTCACCAGCAAGCTGACAGAGATGAAGACATGTGCTATGTTTCTGGCAGCTCTGCTGCTCCCCAGCATTCAAGCAGGTGAGTTAAGGATATGTTTCTGTTTTTTTAACTCAGAAAATAGTGGGCTAAGGACACTTGACATGGACATGAAATACAATTCTATCAGTTCTATCATATCAAACTGATCAAACTGAGCATCCACAGTGATATTTTCAGTGTTGGGCAAGCTACTTGGAAAGTGTAGTGAGCTAAGCTACTAGTTACTCTAATATTAAATGAAGCTTCAGTACATCAAAGCTATCACCCTCAGAAATGTATCAAGCTATGCTATATCAAAATGAAAGTAACTAGTGCATCTACATCCAAGCTTTTTACTAAATTGAACCAACTTCGTGCCAAGTCAGTGTTATCTTACTGATCAATAAGACTGTCACTCAAATAAATAGGCAGGTAAAAAAGTTAAGTTCAATTGTTTATTGAACAGTGAGCTGCACTAACTCCCAACACGACTCAAACCACAACAGCAAGAATGAAGACCTGCTTCTAACAGTCACAACATGGTCAAAAACGTACATGCGCGTATGTATGTGTATGTACACTGTAAAAACTCAAAATCTTACCAAGAATATTTATTTCTAGTCAAAACAAATTTCATTACAATTGAAATAAGACTCATCACCTAAAAAGTAACTTGTTTATAGACAATTTTCACTTGTTTTAAGGAAGATTTTCACTTCCAGTTTTTTTTTTCTTATTGCAAGCAAAAAAAAAAAAAAAACTTGCTCCATGGGCAGATTTTCATACTTATTTCAAGTGAAAATTTGCGTGAAACAAGTATTTTTTAAGTGTAAAGAGATTTGTTTTGACTAGAAATGAGGCTAGTAAACACATTTTAGTAAACACATTTTATAGTGAGCAGCATACACATGTCCCCTACAAATCCCAACCCTGTTTACAAAGTTTGAATGAACGAGATGGACGCAAAGGAAACGCAGTGTGCGCATTGATCCTTTTGCCTCTGTCTGCAGGAACGAATATAAATCCCATTCATGATGGGGTCAAATGGATTATGTGCATAATTAACCACAAAACAAGCAAATACTTCATCTTAATGACATATAACACTCATTATGCTTCAGCTGAATCCTCTAAGCAAATGACCATGTTGAAGTGAAATTAGTTTATCACGTTAAATGTCCGAAATTGTATGAAATTGCTCCAATGCGTTAAACCAATCTTTGTGCATAATCACACAGCCTGATATGCCCTGCAAACACGGTTGGACTGCTGTACAGACCGTTGGTCTTTCTTACCCTAACCCTGGTTATTTTCTCTCTGTGTAGAGTAATGAGTTACCTATTACACTACTTTTGTGTTACTTTGACCAAAATGACCTCAGAAGAACTAAATGGATGAGGGTATGTTGTTTCACAGCAGGTAATCAAAGCACAAAAGCTCCAGTGTAGTACAGTTCATTTCAAATCCAGTGCTGTGCAGGTCTGACCCATTCATGCATTCACATACAGTTGTTACCACTTTGTATTAAATTGAAAAAAAGAATAAAGAACGATTTAATAGCCTAGATTAAAAAACACAATAAATGAATCGTGTTGGACACAGGGAGGGTCAGGCAGAGGATTAAAGTCTAATGATTATGAGATGGATGAATATTTGTGAGCCTATGATATGAAATACTATAAACACATCTGAGATTAGCAAAACAAACAGAATGGCATGCTAGTCAGTCACGATGATGAGCACAAATTAATACAATGGAGCTGGAAGACCCACCTGCCAGTTTCTGGTGTGCTGGTCAGCTACAACAACACCAGAGAGAAAGTTATGCATAACAATGAGAATGTGTGCCGGTGTTCTGAAAGTTTGCGCTACCCACTCAGGATGAGCTACCAGTAGCTCATTCTGTCAGACTAGTCTGATGAACTCAGCCTCTCACTCGTAATGACCTACCCTGGCAAAAAAATTGTTTAGTAGCTACTCAGGTCAGATATGTGTAAGAAGCAGACATACAGCCAATATAAATGTAATTATAAGTAGAGTAGCTCATTCTGTCAGGTAGGAAATATCTATCAGAATGGACTATTACCTCTATAAATGTGATTAAAAATATGGTAGCTCATTCTGCCAGGTACGAAATATCTATCAGAATGGATTATTACCTCTATAAATGTGGTTATAAGTAGAGTAGCTCATTCTGTCAGGTAGGAAATATCTATCAGAATGGACTTGGATGAAATTTCATGCGGTTTGGTTTGTTACAAACGGCACACATGTAGTTATGATACAGGATGCTTTCACACATTAAAAATGCGGGATTTCATGCTTTAATACTTCCTGCAGATAGCAACAGCATGTTATTTAGGTCACAACACAGTTCTTTTATTCACCTCAACCCCAGAGTGGGATATATATATATATA